CATGCAGGTTGGTTGCAAAAGAAATTAAAACCCAGGGAATTAAGACGACTTGTTACCATCGACTGTAGTGGTAAGGAAACTGGATGTGAAAGATGCCCAAAATTTCTGAGATGCACAGTGGCTGTGGAACTTGCACCCCAAGTAAGGAAGCAAAAATCCCTCTGTAGCTACCTGGATGAACAGCCACAAGGTGAAGAGTAAGGAGAGAGATTGGCAAAGAAAACTCTTCTTCAAATGTTTGTAGATATAATGTAACATCAGTCTGGAAAACGGATTTATAAAAGAAGAGAAAGTTTTTAATACAAGTAAATAACTGAACTAGGAAGGAGTAAGTGGCTATGTAAAGCAGATGGGGTCAAAAGTAAAAATAATTGTTAAAATTAAATAAATATAAATAAAAATACAAATTATAGTCTCCAAGCAGGCAAATGATAGTGAAGAGTGGAGCGGAGGAAAGGAGCGTAATGAATATGAGGGTACAGGAACTACCACACCTGATTCGAAACCAAAGCAAACGTTAATGTGATGAAACTAAGAAAACAAGCTAAGACTTGGATTTTGCTGGATTTTTTAAACCATAATGATTTTTATTCTTAAGAAAGCAACAAGGAGTTACAGAGTTTCGCAAAATAACAAACACCGTTCAGATAGATTTCACCTTATCTGTGCTCACTCAGTTTTGGGAGTTGGAGACCCAGCAAGTAATTTCTCCCTCCAACCCGGACTTACGATACGTGTCAGTGGGTGACCTACCCTTTCACCCCTTAAGAATGATCATCTGCCCCATGTTACTGTATTCCACTAATTGGTAATTTCCAGCCCCTTCAAGGAGAAGCCTTTATCCAGAAAGTCTGTTGTTGGCAGCAAATGACGAGCGTACAGGAACATCAAAATTTGTGACTCTCTGTGGTTTTACCATGGCCTCTCAGCTCGTGTTTCAACAATCCACTGGCTGAATACTCTAACCCAGAACAGAGGCTGTGCCACAGAGTGAGGTCCACTGCAAAAGTTACAATTCAGAACAGAGTCTGCATTTCACTGAGTTCACCAGGCTTATCCAAATATTTTACTTTGTCAGTAGAAACCAAATAACATAAACTAAACTCTCCATTCCCCTTATGTCTCTGCTCTCCTAAACATCACTCTTAACCTCCTAGTGTCTGTTGAATTGAACCGCTTCCTCCTAAACCATTTGCAGCTGCATCACCTCTTCAACATCCCACTTCCCTTCATTCCTGTGCCCTTTTACCTTTCTCCACTTGCCTCTTCTCATGACACCCACGATCAGGCAGGTCTCCTCTATCCAAACCCGTTACCTTTCCTGTTTCCCATCTTTCCGCTCTCTTGTCCCGAGCCTTTTTGCCCTGCTCTGACATCTCTGATGTCCATGATGCCATCGTTTCAGTTTCCGTTCTTCCAACGAGAGGAAACACTGCAGAACATGTCAGCCTGGAGTGTGCGGAGTATTGCTCTTGCCCTTCACAAGACATGTGGGCAGCACAACCAGGATCAAAGCCATGAAGATCCAGAGTGTGGGATCTGGACTGAGAGCAACCTCAGTGCTCTGCTGGACTTGGATCCCCTTTTCCAGTTCAGACCCCACCACAGCAAAAGACCTGTTTTGAAAAACACCAAATGCCCGTTTTTTTCTAATCAAATCCCTCAAGCTGAAATTTAGGAAGAGTTTTAACTTTCCGTTGGACAAGTTACGAGCTTAAACTAGGAGCCTAAGGACTTGTTGAACCCAAACCGAAGCCTCTCGCATTTTAAATAAGCCAGCATTGTGCTCACCAAGATAAACAGGGCAGGCAAATTTGGTTCCTTGCAGCTCCCCAAAGCTTCCGCCGACTCTGCTAATGAGCAGGACCATCAACATCGAGCTAGCTTGGCATGCATCCTCTGATTAATTAAACTGCATCTGACACCAGCCCACAGCTCTCCGCTAGTGTTAAATACAAGATAAAGTAAGAAGTGGCTACCAGCCGACATTTGCCAGGTGGGTACGCACCAGTATAAGGGTGATCTCTGCTCCCCTGTACAGCTTTCCCTTTTCCAGCGTCGGGTTAACCAGACTAACCTGAAGATGACTGGATTTTCAGCTTCCACTGTATATGCTGAATGTTACTTAACCAAATTTACAGTTTACAGCAGTATACCTCTATATTCACAGGGGTGAATTTGTCTCTTCCTCTCTCTGTGAATTAACAGCCTGTGTCTCTCCAGTGTACCTATAGCAGTACCAGAAGGAAAATGATCCAGTCTCCTAGACATTGTATGTACAGCCCATCTGATCCCAAGAGGTAAAGGTTGTGACATTCCTGTCTCCGACCTGCACCCTGACCCACCACATTTGTGAAGGTCGCATCCTCCCCTGTAGTCTGACCTCCTGCACAGGGAAGAAGCAGGATCAGTGGTAATAAAGCTGGAAATGAAGTCATGCAATCTCCAGGAGCAGAGAGATACAAGAACAAAATCCTCTGGCATCGACAGGAGGAGGCCAGAAGTGGAATAGCAGCGGTGCTGGTGACACTAGCGCTGAAGGTAAAACAAGCCCAATTCATACCTAACAGAAGCCACAATTTCAGGGCAGCTACACTAGTTTGCAGCAACTAAGTGGCTGATCAGGTGAGAGATAGTTCACACGTTGAAGTTTTTCATGGTCTCTTATACCAACCTTGAACACTGACTTACTCTGAGACCCTATTATTTAACCCTCTTTTTTTTTCCCCTCCCCAAATTATCCATAATTTTGAGTGATTCCATTTTTAAAGTACCCAGCATAGATACTGGCACCCAATTTTTGGACATGCATTTGCAGCCACCGTGGTCTGCAGCTACAGTTGGGTGCTCAGCATCTTTCAAGATCAGGTACATGATATGTGAAGGATGAGGCCCTGATGTAGAGACCAGTCTAGGAAGTCTGGCTGTATGTTCTCTCCTCTGTCAACTTCCCTGTGTAAAACAGAGTGATAATATTGGGCAACTAATGTTATATGGGATGTTTTGAGGACAGGTGAGTTTTTGTAAGCAACTTTAAAGGGTGGCCTGTTTGTGTTTGCGCAGCAGCTTAAGCCACAGGGTGAAGGATCAGAGCACCCAGCTTTAACTGCTCCTGGCCCAGCTTAGGTTCCCTGTGTTCATTTGCTTCAGTTTCCTCTGCATAAAACTGGGATGCTACTTGTTGTGTTTTCCACAGGATACTGGTGCAGACAAGTTTATTCTCATGTGTAAAGCACTATGAGACTTCCCAGAAAGGATCTCTAGGGACAGAAAACAGAATAGCATTAAAAAATAAATAAATCTGTAACTGCTGCTACTCTTGCTCCCGGGACTAGTCCACTGTCCGCACAACTCGATATGCTCCTGAGGGTGCGTGTCTGGAGAAGAAAAACATCCTCGTATGGTTATAAATCTCACAGGGACCACTTAAATTGCAAGTGTAGACAAGGATGAGCTGCACTCAGCATGGTTTCGGTCACCACGCAATTCATGCCTTCGATTACCAAGTGCTCAGCTCAGGTTCATCAGCAACCTTTATCAGTAGGAGAGGGCTTCTTCTTGCATAGCCTGCCTCAGCCCAGATCTGTACCGAGACCGGGGATGGCAAGTTCGGCGTGCATCCATCAACCTGGGACAGTTTTCACCTGCAGCCGTCCTAGCTCCTGGCAAGGTTCTCCTGCCTGAGACGGTGAGATGAAAGCCAGACCTCGTGTCCTGAGCTCACACTTCTGGCAATGAGCTTAAAGAAGAAAGGGGTGTGAGTCAGCACCGCTGTGGCTGTGCAGCGGCTCTAAGTTGTCGAATCGGTTTATGGCCATTTCAGAGGAATCCCACCACCACCACCACAACTATGGCCTTTCTATCTAGTGCCTCTGAAGTGGGTTTAAGTAGTGTAATAAGACAGATGCTCTTGGTAACACGCCCGCTTTCTCTTATCTGTTGCCTCAACAAGTACATTCTGGTTTTAAATTAGGGTATTTATTAAAAATTAAACCAAATCCTAATCACTCTTCTGCCCTGTAAAAAAAAGAAAAAATTCTTATACTCCAGCCCATTTAACTGAAGCAAACATTATCCATACTGTTACTGAGTGGGTTGCCGAATGCCTTTTCTTTTACAGAAAAGAATAATATTTCTTTGACATACTGTTTATGGTTGCTTACAATTACAATTTGCAATTTACAGCTGCAAAACTGAGTAGGTAAGGCATTCTAAAAATGACCTCAAATACGCTTTGATGGCTTTAATGGATTTTTAAATAAAACAGAGAAAGTTATTAACTGAAAAATATAAAAAGTCATTTGAGCCCCTAAAATTGTTTGCTACTTGGTGATTTCTAACAAAGAGCAAGTTTGTTTGCTTTGGTTTGGTTTGAATGCTCCCATGAGCTCAGCTTTAGGCTTGCGCTCAACTAGCCATGCTTGCCTGAATCGGGGTCCTAAACGATGGTCTGTGGCTGTGCAGTGAATTCCTGACTCCTCACTGGAGTTCTAATTAACTCACTTAATTTTGGGGCTTCCTTTTCTTTTGCCCATGCCTCAGAACAGTTTAGCAGTCCCTAGGTCTGCCAGGCAGGAGGGCATCTACCTGTGCTCCTAGAACCTGGCTTTCCACCCAAAACTAAGGTGTTTCAGACCTAGTCGAGCTAGGTACATTAACTGCTCTTCCAGGGACACGCTCTTCCAGGACCAGCAGCCTACCTTCAAGGTTGCAAAGATGCTGTTTTCAAACAAGATCCTTATTGCTTTCTTCGGGATGCTGTATTAAGCAGGGAACAGAAACATAATCAGAAAGCATGTGATATCAGTGAGCAGTGAAAGAAGTTTTAACAATTAAATTAATGCAGGAAAAAAAAGATGCAGCGTGTTTCAAACTCAGCTGGGGAGAAGCCAGTTTTGTATGTTCAAAGGAGAGTTGGAAGCAACAATCTTTACACCCGAATTCCCAAATCTTCCTTTCAAGGGCCCTGAAAGGAGCATGGTGGAGGGGAAGCAGGTTGTTCAGACTCTGCGCTTGAAAGTAGAAACCAAAGTCTTTTGAGTCTGCTCTCGAGATTCGGACATGCCTGTCAGCAGCACGGGGTCCGTCTTGTGCTCCACTTGGTAGAAGGGACAATTCTTCAGGTGCTCCGACATGCACACAACGTCGTTGTGCTGCCATTTGTGAACTCTGGAGAACAGGCTGCTGAACTGCCAGATCTAATACGGGAAAGGGCAGAGAAATTGAGGAGAGAAAAATGGGAATGTTAGTAAAAACAGAAGAGGATTTTAAAAATCTATATGTTCTTCTAGTGGGTGTGCATTATTCGTACTAGACAGGTTAATGAACATCTGATTGTGCAGGGTTGGCATAACAAGCAAAAATGGGGTCTGTATTGTTACCTATCTCATACTTGCTGGTTTTGCTGCTTTAGTTACCACCTGCCATTTTTAACGGGAAAGTATCCTTCTGCAGGTTTTGGTGCCAATCCAGTGCAGGGCATGAGGAAATCCTGGACACCTGACGACCGCACCTCTGCAGAAAACTCTGTCCCAGGTACAATGTGATCCAAGATGTTTATAAAGCAAAGTGACTACAGCATGCTTGTGTGATACATATCTCAAAGAACCCTGACTTCATAAAGACCTTCCAAAGCATCTATCAGCAACTTCAAAGTAATTAACATTACAACACTGTTGTTATTCACCCCACCCCAGAACAAGCCTGGGAAATCTAAGGTTAAAGTTATTGCTAGAGGACATACAAGCTTGTGAAAAATAGAAATGTGCAGTTAAATTTTCTGATCCTGTTTGCAGTGATACCATGTACCATTTAGTGGTATACTAGCGTGTAGTGATAAGACTGTGATTAAGCCACTTTAACATTTGCTGTATACCAGTAAATCAAATTAATTTTTAAGTCATAGTAGATTTCTTCTCCCCAAAAATGTTTCTTCCTGTGGAAGAAGGACACTATGTGGGTGTGCTACACTTAAGATTACCTGACCCTGTTCTAGTCCTAAGTAATGGTAGCTATTATACACAATAGTCAGGAAATTCAGACTAATTACAAACAGAATGTTTTCAAGCAGAAGCTGTGCATTGGAAACAAGATTCCTGTGTGGTCAGTACAGACAGCTAACATGAAAAGGGTTAGACAGTCCTTAAATTCAATACTGCTGGTTTGAAATTGCTCTACAGTAACTGAAGTTAATTGCTATATGAATGCTTAGCTGGAATTTCTTCCTTTTACTGAAGGAAGCCACATCCTCCAGTAAATTATTTCAGTGGCTAATTCCTGTTTTGGATTGGACTAATTTGACTTGCAGCCACCAAACTTTGTTACACAGATTTTGAATTCACCGCGCTTCATGTCTTCTCTTAATAAAGAGTACTTTCTCTTAATAAAGAGTCATAAACTGCTAAGCTTCCATTTGCTAAGAATCAATAGGTGGGAATCTTCAGGGGTCTGCTTGAAATCCAGGTCCTTAGATAATTTCTGGGAGTCTTCCCTGAATCTCTAAATTATTTGTTCCTAGATCTCTGTCTTGTCTGCTTGGTCATGCTGGAGTCTCCCATGTTATTCTTTCAGGTTTATGTTAGAGCAGCTGCAAGGCTGTCAGCTAGGCACCCCCCCCCCACCCCCCCCCCGTAATAACTATTGTTCAGCTAGGACTTAGACTGAGCTGTATTTACGTATTTCTTTCAGACTACCTAAACAGCCAATAAGGGTGGTAATTTTCCAGCACAAACAGTGGGAGACCAGCTTTGCAGAAGAAGTCTTCCCACCCCCATGCTGCTCCCTCAGGTGCTCACAACCCAACAAACCGCTCATGGCAATCCTGTGAACTACTAACCATGAAAGCCCTCAGGGGTTGATGCGAATGCCTGAGCTTCTCTCACAGCCACGTCTCCTTGTTCTTTACCTTTTTGGCGTTCTAAAGCATGTTTTAGTTTTGACATACTCTAGACCAGCTTGTAAAGAACAATAAAAAAAGTATGCACTTCAAATTCTTCAAAAATCCATGTGTAACCCTTAAATATCAGGAATTCTCAGTTCCCAGTGCCTAAAAATGGTGCACATGCAAACAGGTTACCCAAGACAAGCTTGGGTGATGACGTTCAGCTAGTCAGGAGATGTCCGTTTACGCCTTCCTACCTTTGCTAGATGTACTGCATTTTACAGCCCTGACCCCTGACAACTGTGGTGCACATTCACAACCTCACGAACCTTCCCCACATCTGCGTGCTTACATGCAGCATCCCTTGTTATGCTTGTGTTTTATCTGGAGAGAACCCACGGCTATCTTTTTCCCAGTGTCACAGTCACTTGCCTTTTTGCGAGCTTTCCATGAAGTACCGCCATGGGAATATCTTCTTTTCTCCCACACCAGCAGGACCATTCCCTTCTCTTGAAGAAGAGTGGCACAGATGTCCCTCATCAGCACTGACACTTGCGATAGCTGAGATAAACTGAAGCTGTCCAGGAACCCTGCAATGTACTTGAGCACTTCCACTGGGAGGCTGCTCAGCAAGTCCTTATTTCTCCCTTGATTAGCCACTGTGGAATTGCACTTCCCTGATTCGGCAAGGAGGGTGTCCACCTCTGGCTTAATAGCAAATGTCTTGAGAGGCTTGCTGTATATAACCTTGGCCTTAAGTCCATCAGGGCGGAAGGGATTTTGAACAAAAGTACATCCCAAGTAGGCCAGTGGGCAGCGACGCTGGAACCATCCATCCAGACATGACTGGATATCAGCGTGCACATTCTTGAAGTGGGACGGGAACTCATCCCTCCTGAAGAAATGACTGCAAGTGAATGCGAAAGCTGAACTGCTTTTGTTGTGTCTTCTGGTTACGCATTCAGTGTAGAGCTCCATGTGGAGTTCTGGTGGGCTTTTTTCATCCAGAATATCTGCTAGAACAGCACTGGAGGAGAAGGGCTCCAGAGGAAAGCTGTATGTCTGTGTTGCAAAATCCATAAAGAGTCCATCGATACCTCTTGCTTCGGAGATCTCATGGCCTTTCAGCTCTTTTTCCAGTGCACACAGCAGTGTGGCTTTAACTATATTTGCCTTAGGTAGTTCTTCTAGGTTTAATCCCAATTCTGAGGTATCCACTGACTTGTCTGAAGTTGGCATCTTGTGGCCCAGTGCATCTCCTAGTCGTGCTCTTTTGCCACAGTAACTAACTGGCACTTTGAAGGTGTAGACAGTCTTCACCTCCTGAGCTTCCAAGTTCCCATAGACAAAATCTTTTTCTTTGGGAGTGCAAGCAGCTAGCTGGCCAAAGCGGATGAGCATTCCCCCGTGATGTACCAGATACATGTTGTAATCACCTACACCAACTTCCTTCTTCAGCCTCTCCAGGACCCCTTCTTGCCAGGGAGCCAGTCCTGTCATTTCTGTATTTGGTGTTACTTTTTCGGGCTTTTGGTCCTTTGCCTCTTCTGCACCGTCAGGTACTTCCTTTGCCTTCTCTGCGGAGCTGGCAGCATGAGGGGCTGACGCTGTTTTCTTGGAAGCCTCTGTCTTCTGTCCTGTGTTGGCTGCTGAGCCCGTTACCTTGCAAGCCAGGAACTCTTTGCTGAAAATGTTCTCCCAGGTTTTGTAACTCCCCAGATCCATTCCCTCTTTGTCCTTTGCCAAATCTTCACGCTCACGTTGGCTGAGCTCAGACAACTGGTCGTTACCCTCTTGGGAACCACAGGATACTCCTCCCACAGCACCTTCTTCCCCATCCATGGCTTCGTCCATTAGCTCTTCCACTTCATCCTTTTTCCTCCACTCTGGAAACAATTCAGCTATTTTCAAAGCCCTGAAAAGGATCTTCTGGTCTCTGAGCGCCAAGGCTGTGTCCAGACACTCTTCGTTCAAGGTCTCCTTCATAATGTTCTTGTGGAGGGTTGTGTCCGAATCCACGTTTGGCCAACGATTCCACTCCATCGAGCAGCAGACAACACTGGCTGGACAGACCTGGAGGTGCTTCGCCAGCTTAAAGCGGGCCATGGAAAAAGGGCAGCCATAAGCTGAGTTGAGGCAGGAGACCTGCTCTAAGGGACAGAGCAATTGGTGCTCCTCCTCCTTGCACATGTGGAAGGTGGCCCCGCAGCGAAGGTGGCAGCTGATCACCATGCAGGAGATGGAGAGCTCAGTTGGTGCGCGGCAGTGCCGGTTGAAACATCCCTCGCAGTGCCTGTGCTGCCCAGGGGAAGCTTTCTGAGCCCGGTGCTGTGTGTAGCAAAGACAAGAAGACAAGAGTTATTGCTCGAAGGAGCAAGGACGGTCACAGACCCTCCATGCCCGTGCTTGGTTTCTATGTGTTAGGCGCTCACATGCACTTCTAGCGGGAATAAGGCTGTGGGCAAATAACTGGCAGCTCCATGTAGTCGTGTATCAGCACTGATCCCCATGGTACAGTGCGGTCGGATAGCAGCACAGATACAGATGAGGTCCTTACTCATTAGCCCAGCAGAGGCAGCCAGGGTTTGGGAGCGAGCTGTTTTCTGTCCCAATATTTACACTGGGTCTATCTATACCAAGCTGCTGAAATCAAGACTGCCAGAGGCACAGTGAAGGAGCTTCCCACTTCCTCAATGCTTTTTGAGTAGGAAAGATGATGTTTCTTTTTCCTCCCTGGAAAAATGAGCTGGTTGTTTGGCCTATGTGCCTCATCATCCCCCCACATAAAGACATGAATGTTGCGCAAATGAACCTCCTTTTGCTCTACACCAGCAAGGCTGAGAGTGAGGGTTATCTTCATGTTCCCAGTGTGGAAAACAGCCTGGGTAAAAGCTAATTTGCCTGGCCTTCTTTGCTCTGCTTTTCTGATCTACCCTTACACTCCTAGATGATGCTGTGTGTTGTGGAACAGAGACTGCGGGGGACTTTCCTTCAGGCAAGTTATTTGCTGCATTTACTTTCAGGTGTCAAAACCTGGAATAAGGTGATGCCTCGGTCTGCGTTTTGAAGACAAGCTCCAGAGTGCAGTGGAGGCTTGTTGCAAGGTTATACTCACGCAGTTAAATCCATTTTCTTCTACTTTTTTTGTACAAACTGCCTTTCACCTTTCTTCCCCGTGCTGTCACCAGTGAATGCCAAGTAGGTAGGAAGGAGGAGAAGAGGGCAGGTATGGTTTATCTCCTGCTCTGCTCAGCACCACAGTGTGCAGTTAGGGCAGAAGGGGAGCGACGAAGGTCTAACCTCAACAGAGCTTTTCCCTTCCTCTGACGGTGCAGGGGAGAAGTCAGCCTGAGCATGCCTTTTACAGGGTGTCTCTTTGAGAAAGAATCCATTTTTCTTCCTTTGGGATTTGTCTTAGAGCATGATCCTACAAAAACCGGTCACCACTGCTCTACTTTTTCAGTTTACCCTATGTACTTCTGATGGGTCAGTGTCAAACACTGCCCGGAACTGAATAGGTGATCCTGAGCTGATCATCTTTTAGATTCAGCTTGTAAAGGTGTTAGTGACACCACAAAGGGCCAGAAAATACAGAAAGAGGTCCCAGGCAACAAGTAATGAACACCACCAGTCTCCGTTTCATAAATTCAGCTGCCACCAGGCAGCTCCATGAATTGAACATTTTGCAACTGCCAGACTGGATTAAAAGAACAAGTTGAGGTTGCCAAACCAAATGTTTCAGAATTTCAACCAGCTTTATTACACGATCAGATTAAATGTTTTCTTAAGGAAGACTGCATTTCTGTTCTCATGCTTCCATATTAATGTGGTTTCAAAATATATGTAATTTTTTCCTCTCCTCCCCTTAAAAACCTTTGAAATAAAAAGGTTAACATACAATTTTCCTGAGGTCCAACAACAAAAAGCAGAAGTACAAGAACATGATGTACAAAGATCCCTATATAAAAAGTTACCGCTACCAGATTACTAGCTTTGTGTCACAATGAACCACTGGCTTTGGTTTCATCATTGTGTCTTTTGTTCTTTCCCGGTAAGTCAATTAAATGAGTTTAATGTAAAAATAATGCACTTAGGAGGCCTGCTTCCAAAAGTTCTCAGTTGCCCTTGCTCATAATATCTCTACCCTTGCAATAATTCCCAGCAATAGCTGTTAATCCTTCCTAAAAATGGGAAAACAGAGGCACAGAGTCCGACAGCAAGTAAATGGAGGCGGTGATTAGCATGAGGCATGCCTTCTCTTGTAAAAAATCTAAGAACGTAAGAAATAACATTCTGGGTCAGACCAGTGGTCCACCCAACCCAGCAGTCTTCTTCACCAATGTCCCTAAGAGATGCTGTTTAGGGGGAACATGTAGGACCTCCTCTGGTCCTTTCCCCTCATACACGGTTGTTGGATTAGAGAACTAGAGGCTGCTCAGTCACTACTTGGAGCTACTTCTCTGGCTACCTTCAACTGGTATCAGTAACTTGGCCCAAAGAAGAGCTGCTGCAAGCAGAAAACTCCCGACTTCTGACTTTCTGCTCCTTGCTGTAGGGGCTGCATTCCAGCTTGGTTCAGCCTACTGTGAATCTTTGTGGAAGGGAAAGAGCTAATGATAAGGAGGAACTGAAGTTCTGTTTCCAAACATGACACAGGGCATGCTTTTTTTCTGTGAGAATGAGAAAAAAAGTTTTGACAAGTCTTCCCACCACAGTTTCTATGCAGTAGGAACTACCATAGGCTCAGCAGACCCTCATTTGGCTCTGGGAAAAAATCGACATTGTTAGTAAAATAATTTAGACTTTGGGTTTTTTTTGCTAAGGTTAAAGAAAATACAGTAGTGTCATTTACCTAGATGTGAGTGCTTTTGCAACCCCAGTCTTAAGTGATCTAGCCCTGAGGAGAGCTGGTCTGCAGAAGAAGTAGGCTCAGGCTCAAGGGGAAGAGATGCTACGTGAAGCGGCTTCCCCTCTCTTTCTTGAGGTAGTGTCTTAACTTCTCGTCTCTCACACTTTCCCACGCCGGCAATGGAAGTCACGAACAACGCCGGAGAAAGAAAGATGTCTGGGAAAGGCAATGCTTGTGGATTCCTGCAGTCACTAAAGACCACACACTGGTGTTTGAATTTGATGTGCATTAACTGCTTAACGCATCTTTGTTCCATCCTTTGCAACTTCCAGCACTGACCAAACCTGTTTACACCTCCTAATGAATCAACCCCACTCCCCCTTGGTCCTGCAGAGTAAAGGAACTTGGTGGTCCCTTTACCCATGGACAAACTTACACTCTGAAGTATAAAGCTTAGGTACCTTCACCTTTGTTTGCATGGAAAGAGCTCAAGACAGCAACGCAGAAGAACAGTATTTTGTGACTACCTTTTATAACATTCCCTGCCTTGTCTTGGGAAGCACCGGCTTCTGGCCGGGGGTGACAGCAGGGTGCTGGCCAGGGTGGCCCCAGGCACATGCAGCCCTTAAATACCTGTGGTTTAGGGTGGCATCTGTCCTGCTTTAGGCTGTTTGGTTACATCTACTTTTATGCAGCTCAGAGAAGCAGGAGATACAGATGGATTTATTTCACATTGGCAGCATCCTTGCTGCTTTCATTCTTGTAACATTTTGCTGCAAATATAATCTCTAAAAATAGTCCCAGCTATGACTTGCATAAGGTCAGAGGAAGGCTGGGTACATTACACTGCAATAAAAACACGAACATGTGAACAATACTTTCCACTGCAAAAGTAACTCTTGGAGAGGAATAATTGATAAATAAAAATACAGCAGAGGCACAGGCCTTATGGTTCTCTAAAACACAGAAAGGACTGGTTGCAAAGTTTCTGGAGAGGACCCTGCTTCACACTGCTGTATGCTGAAACTGAACCCCATCCCAATGACATGCAGAGAAAGAAAATACATGCTTTCTTTATGAGAAGTGACCATTATCAGATCTTTCAGATTCAGAATCAGTCTTCATCATTATCCAGGTATTTTTTAGTTGAGTTTACTTCATCTCTAACTTGTATATGCTGTTCTTTTCAGACAAATTATTTCTATGCCTCTCTTCTCATTGTCAAATCTGTGAAGCTAGGGGACAGGAAGAAGGGATAGAGAATTTTTCTGATATTTATCAGGATTTGAATGCTGCTTCTATTCTGACATGCTGGTAATCAGGAGCTCTGTATTTTAACTGATGATCTAGTTAGCTCTGTGGTTTAGTTGATGGTATTATTGTCAGTATACAAACTACAACTTTCAAAACCCTGAGCAGAAAGTTTACAAATTCTTGCCTCGGTAAGTTTGATACCTAAAACCCAGAGGCAGGTGACACACAGATACGTTGGGTTATGAAACATTTCTCTAAACCTGTACACTTCTTGTTTCCCTGCAACTTGCAAAATTTCCTAAGAGCTGAGTTACAAAAAAAATCAAAACAGAAATACTTACTTGAATCATGTTCAAGCTACTGTGGAAAGAAAGGATGCAAATCCAGTCCACAGTCTGTCCACTTTGGTAAATCTTTATTTTTAGCCCGTCATGACAGCAAATCAAGTAAGGTTTAAAAATATACAGCTGCTATTTTAACTGCAGATATGTCTGTGTCTGGAGCAGATCTGTTCAGTGACAATAACTTACAGTTTATAAACAAATTACAATTTCTTTTCAGTAAATATATATTTGGTTCAGTTGCAGCCAATGAGCCAAAACAATACAACTGTTTTCTTATTTGGTATTTGCCATATGTGACTGATCATATGACATACTAAGGTTATACATCATGTCTGAGCTCTTCACACAGAATCAAGGGATGCCTCCCATTTTAAAGAACCATCAAAAAGGGCCACCAGAAACCCCAGATAATTACCTTAAAGAGTGCCTCTGAGATGAGATTGCAAATGAACATAAAACAGTCTTTCTAAGACATGATAGGGAGCTCTTAAAAAAAAATCTCAGGAAAGTTTGCATCCAAATGCTGGAGCCAAGAACGTTAACGTTATATATATAACGTTACAACAGAAAAATATTTTCAAGGAATGTGAATACTTTTGGTGAAGTGTATAATGCAGACAGGACATACTCTCTATTTCTTTTAATCCTTGTTACCCAGTATATGGTGTTTATCTCATTTTTATCATAATACTTAAATCCTGAGGTAAATACAGAGTTACTAGTTTCCTTACAGGATTTTTCAATATATTTACTGTCTTAGTATCTGAGGGGGTTCACAACCAATAATGAATTTATCTTTGCAGTACTAGAGGTGTACTTGAGGTTAAAAGATACTATTACTTCTGTGTGGCAGATGTAGAATTAAAATATAGAAAGATGAAAAGAAATAGAATGAAATATAATATTTTATATAAACATATATATATACACACACACCAAGCATGGAGATGCTCAGGTTCTGATGTTTCACGTGCAGTTGCATGCTTCCTGCACAAAACCCCTGGCAGACCCAGCTGTAGAATCACATTTTCTGGGAGAGCATCTGTGTCTCCTTAAACTAGAGATTTTCTTCTCTTTTCGTGCAGCACTCTTCCTCAATCACTACGTACTTAACGACCTCAGCAAGAAATCAGGCTCGGCTCTCCCTTTGCTAAACAGATATATTTATTTCTTGGAGTTGAGGAAGAAAACACTATGCCATTGGAAACCATACCGTACCGCATTTGTACATGATTCTCAGGAGCCTAAGTTTTCTCAAGTCCTGTCCTTCAATACAAAATAAAAAGCAAACCCAAGAATGCCACCACCTGGAATCATGGTGACCCCTAAGTGAGTCAAGCCCCACATCTCAACACCCACAGCAGGGACAGCTACAGCTTGAGTGACCGCCTTGGTCACTGTCCTTCGTGGCACATCTGCTCTGCAGTTGCCATTCAGACTGGTCTTGCATATACGTGTGGCCAGCCAAGGTTTAAATGAGTCAGGCAGTGACTATGGTAGAGCTCAGGGTAGGTGGAAAGGGAGAATAAAAGGTATAGATGAAATCTTCATCAATGACACTAACAACCTTCTAGCGAGCATGTGCAAGATGTAGTTTCTTTGAGGCTCAGACCTTGAACAAGTCCACATGGATTTTATAGGGGCACTTTGATTCCAGGGCAATCCTTCTGGTGAACCTCAAATCCTCAGTATAAGGCAGGTGGAGTGAAAAGATTTTCCATGAGACAACTGACCAAAGATGGAAGGATGAAGCTGTGACAATTAGGGAGGTACTCCCTGTATTTTTTAGCTGGGGATCAGCTGGCTGAGGCCGTGGCGTTTCATGGCAATAACCACTAGTTCAGAGGTACTGAATGGGTTGGAATTGTTTTATACTGAAAAAACTATGCTTTAAAATGACAGGGATGGAGTAGGTCCACCGTATAGTGCATCAGCCTGGCAAAGACTTCAATCCATGTTCCTTGCTTTTCTTCCAGAGTGTGCCTGCTGCTCAGGTTCTCGCAGCAGCACATCAGCTTCTCTTCAGCTCCCTAAACCTGGCATGCAGGACCATGGAGCTAAACAGAACCTGTTGCACCATCACGTCTCACCCTCGCCTGATAAATCTGTGCTGCACGCACGCAGTAAAGAGGCACCGAAACTTGCCCGTGCGATTTCTGTCCAGTGAAATGCACTAGTGCTGTTACAGGACAAGTAGAGGGGAGTTGAGAGTAGTGAGGTTCACGTAACACAGGGCACTGCTGGTAGAAACTCCACACTGCACTCCCCCCATGAGACCTGAATCAGCAATATTTCTTGCTCCTCTCTACCTGGTGCAATGTAGCCATAGCTCACCTGTGCCAAACCCACCCCAAAATTCCAGGTTCTGAAATGGTCCTCTGGGCTGGCAGCATGGTGCAGGGCAGCCCAGCAGCAGGGTCTTGTGCTGGGCGTGTTGCGGAGTCGTGTGGGAGTCAGGCAGGATGGGGAGAAGGGGAGAGCCGTGGCACGGAGCTGCTCTGCTGCTCCTTGCGCATGCGAGGGGTCCCTGTGCTGTCCTCGGTAGAGACACAGTCAGGCAAAATCTCACTTTGCATCAGTTACTGGAAAATGGATTTGGTTTGAGCTCAGCAAGTGCTTCAAAATAACAGGTTCCAGTTTAGTTGCAGTTTGAGAACAACAACAAAAAAAAGGGTCCAAACTGTGTTTTTTTTCCTTTGGGCTCAGGTTCTATTTTATGCCCTGGTAACAATCCCATTAACATACTTTTCTGAAAACTTCTTGAGATAATCAAGTAATGGTTTGTTTGAAGCAAAACAAAGGAAACCCAGCCCAAGGCAGATGCCCAGTTATAGAGAATTTCAGAGCTATCGGTTAAGGTCTAAGTGTCATAAAAAACAAAAGCAAAAAGATTCCTGAATAAAAATTCCTAAGCAGCCACATCTCTGAATGGTACTGTAGTACCTGTAACCCTTGTAATTCTTACTTCATCATCATTCATTCAGTCTGGATTACCAACATAAAGTTTGCAGCCTGAATCTACAAAACTTACCAGATTTTAAGTCTTAGCATTTTTGCCACAAGCTTGCTCTTGCCTCTCCTCTGGCCCTTACTGTATCTCCTTGTCTTACTTCTGTCAGAGTTTCTTGAAAATGACAGAAATTGAATTTTTGATTTATCATCTGTCCTGCTGCTGAAGCTCCCATCTTAGAATCAGCATCTTAGTTTTTTAAAACCCCAGATACAGTGCTGCAAACTATGGCTAATCCACTGAATATATTATGGAGGTTTTTTTTTTTTTAGAGTAGCATGCCACAGAGGCGTTCACAGTTACCAGCTGCGTCTGTTTTAGGGTGTCATTTAAGACATCTTGTGTCTGATTATTCTACTTCATCTTAGTTACTAAGGCTGTTTTGAAGATGTCTTGATTTTCATAGCTCAGTACAGTAACCATTGCATTGCATAAGGTTTGACCAATAAAAACTCCAACTCTATTTACAAAGCCTTACCTTAATCATAGAGTCCCCGCGTGTGCACCAAACACTTGCTCTCCTGGTTGTGCTAAGCTGGGTTGAAGTGAGGTCGGTAAGCGAGAGCTGCAAGCAAAGAAAGAGGAGAGAACGGGAGGACACAGAGCAAGCCCAGGCAGAAACATCAAGTAGTTTTGGGATGTTAAAAATAAAACCCGTGCATGTGACCATGGAGCTCAGCTTACAGAGCAGTCTCTTCCACTGTATTTGTTAACACTGTCACTTCTGGAGCGATACTTCACAGAGGAGAGGCGAGAGGCAGAACCAATAATACTCTGTGCCCCCTGCACGAGAGGAAAAGATCAAAACCCTTCCCAGAGCCCTGCATCAGCTCCCTGCTGTGCTCTGATGGAGGTTTGCCTCCAGTTCCCATCGTCACCAGCTGGTGCAGACAGCGATGGTGGGTTTCCGATGGGCAGGGGTGGGCAGAAAGAGAGCAGGAACAGCCCAGAGCTGAGCAGCCGGGCAGATCCGCCTGCCCGCCTCCCGGGGACCCCCAGGAGACTCCCCAGCTCCAGCCCCTCTGCTGCACAGGGAAAGGGTCCCACCGGCCACCGGGAGGAAGCCCGAAGGGTGCAGCTCCCAGTGCCACCCATAGTCAGCCAAACCTGGGGAAGCGACCGTCAGCGTGGTTAAAAGCATTAAATTAAAGCATTTCATGGTGAGATTCATGGCGAGTTTCGTGAGTTCTGTGGTGAGCATTTCATACTCATGGTGAGTACAGACATAGGTACTACTACACGTCAGTGAGGTTCAAGGGTGCGGATGGGGCAGGTGCTGCTTCTCCCTGGTGGGTGCTCACCCCGTCTGGCTGCAAAGACACCTCTTGTGACCCTGCTGCCGCACGCAACCACTTTTCACCACCTCAGAAACACAGAACAACATCTTTTGGCCGTGGTGGTGGCGGCTCTGAGATCCTAAGTCGTGATGAACTTGTTGCTTTGCCTTATCTTTCTCTTTCCTTATCTGTGAGCCCCCAGTGACTCTGATAGTTTGAAACAGTGCAGGCAACTGTGTTTTCATTTTTAGGGCTGAACAAAATGTCAGTAGGTGACAACCAAGGCTTGCTGGTGCCAATTGTAATTTAGTAGTGCTAAATATGGTTAGCAGTCTGGCTCTGTGGCCTTTTTTAGAAAGGGCTGTATTATCGTGATACCATTTTCTGTCATCCCATTGCACTGGGGAAAACAGGGGCCAGTGGTAATATGCCTAAACCTGAATTTCACCCAATCACAACATGATTGCTGATGTGTTTACCCAAATCCACTTCCACCCTTCACCCCCCCCGGTTCAGGGTCATTCTTCAGCCTTCAATGTTGTCATCATCTTTTTAGACTGTGTTTAAAAACATGCTGCCTGTGTGCCTCACTTTCATATGAAGTAAAAAATTCTTCTCAAAATTCTGTATTACTGGTTTAGGATGAAACTCCCTCCAGCTGAATTAACCCAGATTACTAAAATACTTGGGCTTCAGAAGTAGCTGTTGTCAGAAATGAAGCTACCTTCCGTCTTAATTTTACCAGCACCTGATGTCAGCCTGGTTTTAGATCTCTGTGTTTCCAGACAGTCTGAACTCTGGTGGCACTTTTTACTGCTTCCATGTGTTGCTCAGTGATCATGCAGACCCAGAGAGCCTGCCCTGGGTCTGCCTCCCTCTGTTTGGTACTCCGCCTCGCAGCCTCACGTAACACAAGCAGCCAAGTTTTGCAAATCCTTGCCTGCAGGTGATAGCTGTACTGCAGGAAGGCATCATCTGTGGTGGCCTTTTAGGGCAGGGTATCACAAGATGCGCAGAATGAATGTAGTTCACCATCCCTGAAAATGAGCATGTGGTGGAGACAAGGGAGCAGAAGAGCGAAGGTGACGGGAAACAGGAATTCATCCTTGTACCTGCAGCAGACCATTGTATGAGGTCAGCCACACCTGAAACCAGACTCTCGGCAAGAACAGAACTTGCGGATCTCTGCTGCCACCCTGACCTGTGCTAATTTGATTCAAGGTATCTCAGGAATGCCAACTAATACTGTAACCAGACCTTCTGCTGCAGTACAGATGTGTTTACTGGTAGGGTCCGAGAAACATGAAATCTCTGAAAGAAAAGTGTAACTGGTATTTATTTTTTGGTGCAAATGCTTTGGGAGAAAGCTGTTGCCTGTCTGCTTAAATGTCTCATATCTCAATTCTATGGGTAGAAATGCTGTGCCATACAGAAGCCCTATGAAATATACTTATGTATATGATACGTATTTCGTATATGTATATGTATACATATGATATGTATACAAATATACATATCTATTGACATGGGAAAATTGGGCCAGATCTGGTAGGCTGAGAGAGGTGAGGTTGCCGCAGCTCCATGTCCCCAGGTCCAAGCAGTAGCCAGGCTGAGCTTGTGCACAAATACATGTATACACCACGTATGTACACATATACACGGACGGCCACACAGATAACACGGCCAGCCACACAGAACACTCACACGAACACAGTGCCAGTGACCTCATCCCACCCCCCCCTCTCTGGCTGAGCCGGATGGAGGTGTGCTAGTGAGCATATGTGCATATATATATATATATACACAGTCACACACATATTTACGGCATGGATCCCTCTAGCAGCTGGGCTCAGGCAGTCTGCCCAGCAGCTGCCCCTTCATCCCAGTCTCACCAGTCCCCCTGGTCCCCCATAGCCAGCTCCTCTGTGGTGGTCTCACCCCCAGGGACCCCCAGGATCTTCCGCAGCTGCTGGGACCTCCCCAGTCCCCCCAGCAGCCATCTCCTCTCCTCCAGGCCCCTGCGCCGGCTGGCCCAGCTGCACCCTCGCTGCCGCTCACACGCTTACACGCTCGCCCGCACGCCTGCGCCCACGCCAGGGGCTGCCCCGTGGGCACTGGTCCCAGCCGCTGGCACCCAGACCCCCCCAGACCCCCTGCACGGGGTAACGAGAGTCCCTCGCCCGGGCCGAAGTGCGAAAGGAGTTTAACGAGAAGACGGGACGGGCTGCGCTGGTCAGGCACAGGGCACGGCCAAACCATCACAAACCACTGACACGCAACCGGCCCTTTTTATTCCCGTATCCCTCTGTTCTCCCACACTTGATCCCCCACAGATCACCTCAACCCTGCCCTTGGTTCTTCCCCTGAAGAGTCCCGTGCAACGCCCAAACGCTCTTCCCCTGTGTCCCGTCGTGTGTCCCCTGAACGCAGTGACCCCCCCCAGCCCTAAAGGTGCTCTGGGGCTGGGACAGCCCTGGCAGGGGCCTGGACAAGGTGTCCCTTTCTAATTTCGGGTTCCCGACGGCCATCGTGCCCCTGTGCTCCTGGAGACGGGCCGTTGGTGGGCCGATGGCTCCTGGGGTGGGCCTGGGAGCAGCCCGCAGGGTGCTGTTTGGGGTGTCCCCCCGCTGCCGTCTCCCTGTGCCCCTCTGTGGGTGCGCGGATGAGCTTGTAGAACATCACCTCCTCAATGATCAGTATAGTTAGGTTTGGGATTTTTTTTTTTTTTTTAGTATATAACCTACATAAAATTTCTCTCATCTTTGGTCACACAACCTAACGCACGTATCTGTCTCAACGCATGCCACGGGTGACCGGCAGCTGTTGCGGCTTTCCGTGCCCGCTCCACGACCACCCCACAGGCGCGAAGTAACGGCTTCGAAACGGCCTCGCTCCTCGACGCCGGCGCTTGGCGTGCGGCGGCGTGGTTGGCGGCGACCCCGGGGCCGCCACTACGTAACCTGCATGGCAGGAAGCGTTAATTAAAGTGGAAATATCAGCTCGTTAGGTTATCCCGGGCTATAAAAGCCCCCTCCTGGGGGGGGTGAGGGGGGGGGTCCCTGTCCGTTTTACCGCTGCCTGTCACGAATTTCCCTTGAGGCAGCGCTGACAGGCGGCAGGTTACGGCCGGCGGCCTAACACCACCGCCCTGCCACTGGCGGTCGCTGCGCCATGGCCGGAGGCAGCCGGCCGGTCGCC